AAAAAAAACTAAACATTCTTTAAAAATAAGACCGTCACCAAGAATGCATGACATTTGTATTTCTGTTCATTAAACCACTGCATGCAACTTTGTGCAACTTCACGGTGTTTTGGTTTAGGTTGATGAGAATATGAAAGTTGCCCAGAAGCGAAATGCAGTGCAAGAAGGCATGTTTTATTTTCGGAAGGACGCCTTTAAAGGTTAGTTGACATTAAAGTTAAATAGAGGTCATTATCATTCATATCAACATTGAGCTGTGACATGTTTTTATAAAGGCACGACTAAAATAATGTGGTCATTTGTGATACTGCATGCTGGTTCCATATTTCTTTTTAAATCATTATTTCTTGATTTGTATTATTATTATTATTATTATTTTAAGGCTGCAACCCAGTGTTAGACCCGCCCTCCACAGCTCAGAATGGAGTGGAGAGTGAAGCTAAAGACAGTGAAGAGTTCACACTGATGAGTATCGACACCATCATCAATGGGAAGGTGAGTGTTTCTCTGCTCTTTAACTTTACTTTCCAAAGAGTTTCAACAATAGGCTTGAGTGGGTAGAACGATGCTCGATTCCTTTATTTTATTGTGTGGTGGTGTGTAGGGTTAGGCCGATAGACGATGCCATTGTTTATCACCGATGGCTGACAGATATCACAATGTTGAACCAGCATCGTGATCCCACCACACCCCCCCAAAACATACCTGCCCGCAAAAAAAAAAAACACATCTTAATCAATCACACTATATCACCCAGTGCAATGCATGCTTTCAATTTTCTGATTAGGTAATAACATATTAACATAACATAATGAAGTCGTTCCCGATCACAATACAAATTACACTGAACAAAATTATAAATGCAACACTTTTGTTTTTGCCCCCATTTGCCATGAGCTGAACTCAAAGACTTTTTCTATGTACACAAAAGGCCTATTTCTCTCAAATATTGTTCACAAATCTGTCTAAATCTGTGTTAGTGAGCACTTCTTTGCCGAGATAATCCATCCACCTCACAAGTGTGGCATATCAAGATGCTGATTAGACAGCATGATTATTGCACAGGTGTGCCTTAGGCTGGCCACAATAAAAGGCCACTCTAAAATGTGCAGTTTTATCACACAGCACAATGCCACAGATGTCGCAAGTTTTGAGGGAGCGTGCAATTGGCATGCTGACTGCAGGAATGTCCACCAGAGCTGTTGCCTGTGAATTGAATGTTCATTTCTCTACCATAAGCCGTTTCAGAATTTGGCAGTATATCCAACCGGCCTCATAACCGCAGACCACGTGTAGCCCAGGACCTCCACATCCAGCATCTTCACCTCCAAGATCATCTGAGACCAGCCACCCGGACAGCTGCTGCAACAATCGCTTTGCATAACCAAAGAATTTCTGCACAAACTGTCAGAAACCGTCTCAAGGAAGCTCATCTGCATGCTCGTCGTACTCATCGGGGTCTCGACCTGACTGCAGTCCGTCGTCGTAACCGACTTGAGTGGGCAAATGCTCACATTCGATGGCGTCTGGCACTCTGGAGAGGTGTTCTCTTCACGGATGAATCCCGGTTTTCACTGTACAGGGCAGATGGCAGACAGCGTGTATGGCGTCGTGTGGGTGAGCGGTTTGCTGATGTCAACGTTGTGGATCGAGTGGCCCATGGTGGCAGTGGGGTTATGGTATGGGCAGGCGTATGTAATGGACAACATAATCATGCTGTCTAATCAGCATCTTGATGTGCCACACCTGTGAGGTGGATGGATTATCTCGGCAAAGGAGAAGTGCTCACTAACACAGATTTAGAGAGATTTGTGAACAATATTTGAGAGAAATAGGCCTTTTGTGTACATAGAAAAAGTCTTAGATCTTTGAGTTCAGCTCATGAAAAATGGGGGCAAAAACAAAATTGTGGCGTTTATAATTTTGTTCAGTGTACATTCAAAACAGTTCAATGAACACAATTTAAACAGTAAAGATTGTATTGTGCAAAAAATGCCAAATTAATTATAGGCTAGATGTTTTACACTAACTAAACGAAGCATACAAAAACAGCAACACAATGCAAAATATTTTAAATTAAATAGATTAGACATTTTTAGACATTGCCCAGACTGGTGTTTCTCTTTCTTTCTCTCTTTCTTTCTTTCTTAGGAAGGGGTGTTTCACGGCCTGATACCAATGTTGAACTGCTACCTTGAGAACATGGAGGTGGATGTCGACACACGATGCACTATCCTCAACTACCTGAAACTCATTAAGAAGCGTGCTTCTGGTATGCAAATGTGTTTCGGTTAATTACAGTGACAGTGCTTTGTTTCTGTTTCTGTTTTCATTTACTTTGCTGTTTATTTTTTGCTGATTGTTTTATTGCAGTCCTATTGTATTTGTTTGCAGTTCTTTGAATGTGTATTTCTCCCCTCTGTTGGCAACTTAAGAATCACGTGATTCAGGCAAACTACTTCAGTTATTGTCTCATCCAGCAGGTTGATTATTTGGATTTTGTGTCATTTCTATTTCTTTTAATGTTTGTTTTCACTACCGTGCTTTTCTCAGGTGAGCTGATGACTATGGCTAAGTGGATGAGGGAGTTTGCCGCCAAACATCCTCAGTACAAGCAGGACAGCATGATTACAGACAAAATAAACTACGACCTGCTGCACAAGTGCGACAGAATCGCAAAGGGGGAAGAGAAATGTCCCGAACTCATCGGCGACCCGGTTAACAGAAGAAAATGAAGCCTGCTCGAAACAAACACCAATCGTATATTAAATTTGCATGCGAATGGAAAGACCACTGCTGTCCAGAAAAAAAGGTTTTAAGAAAATATTGAAAATAGCATGTGTTTGATTGCTGAGGTTTTCCAAAGGATTGTTGAATTTGTAAATAGCAGATTTTTATTATTCGCAAATTATTTTAATAGCTTAAACAGATCCATGATGTGATTGTACTCTGATGTGTACATAGTTCACGTTGGTCTGACTTGGTGAGAGATTATGTAAATGTAGCAAACACTGAATTGTACATTAGCAATATTTTAATTGTTGAAATGTAAATACTGTACTTCATCAGGCATTAACAAGTGTACTTTCTTTTTTATGGATGAAACTGTTGACTTGCTTTGCAGATTCTTTTGGGGTTTTAATATTGTACCAATTAAGATAATGATTTTAAGGCACTGCTCTTGATTCAAGTCTGTATGCAGCACTGACTGAACTGATGTAGGAATTTAAATGGGGGGGATGGGAAGTAGAAGACTGTAGTGGGGTGCAGTGCGTTGTGTTTTTCACTAACAAATTCTATTTTGTAATTTTAGTGTTTGAAGGACAGCTAAAATGTATGCCATCTGGAGTTTCTTAGTTAAGCTTTACATAGCAGGTCCACCACAAGAGGGTGCAGATGATCTTTTTTATTAAATTAATGGAACGATTAATTGGGTTAAGTTATAATTTGTCAGCTTTAATATCAGTATATGGCTTCAAACAAAGTGATTCCTGTACATATTTCAGCTTATTGAGTGAAACAACTGCCTTTTATAGAGCACTGTCATTGCTTTTAGCATTCAAGCCTTATGGAAACAATTCTTTAAATGCTGTTTGCGTGGAATGTTTGCTCTTTAAAATTCAATTCATTAAATCATTTAATAAGCATCAGACTCGTAGCTGACAGTATCTATGAGCTTTCATCGTCACGCAGACAATAAAAGCTGTTACACAAGCACATGCCCCCTGGCTGTTTAGGTTTGCTGAGTGTCAGACACAAAATGTTTTTGTTTGCATCATTTTATTGGACAGAGGACTGAATGTGCTCTGTGTATATGCTAATTTTCAGATCTGCTATCGGTGATTAATTTTACCTGATTTTCATTAAGCAGATAACGCTTGTATAATTTATATTGGCTTGAAATGCTCATTTTAATGGTCATATGCTTTGGCCATGAATAATAAAATAAAATGGGTCTTTAGATCAGTGGTTCCCAACCCTGGTCCTGGAGGCACCCCAACACTGCACGTTTTGCATGTCTCCTTAACCAAACACACCTGATTCAGGTCATCAGCTCATTAGTAGAGACTCCAAGGCCTGAAATTGGTGTGTCAGAGAAAGGAGACATGCAAAATGAGCAGTGTTGGGGTGCCTCAAGGACCAGGGTTGGGAACCACTGCTTTAGATCATATTAATTTCAGTCAAACAGAAATCAAGGCTTAAAATACAGCAGAAATTAGAAATAAGGCTTTCACAGTTCAGGTTCTTCATCAAAGATGCCTTACAGGTCAGCAAAATATATCTAATTCAGTTGTTATTGTAAATAATTGACCGCATTGCATTCTCAAACCCAAAGCCGTCACTAGAACTTACAGGATCCGGAAAAAAAGGCTTTATGGAAGGGCCTCTTCCGGGTCCAAAACGAAGGCTATACCATTAGGGCTCTTAATAATGTTCCCAGTTGTCCTCATCTAATGATGCCAGGGAATGTTAATTCTGTGTACTGACTTGTAATGAATAACATTCGCAAATGTGATTCTAAAGTGTGAAGTGGTTGACATATGATGCAAAATAATGGGACTTTGTATCACGTTGCATCATAAAGAATCAGCACATGACCAGATAGACCAGAGATCAGTTGTTGTTTTTTTCAGCTTTATTACTTTTTTTATGCTTACTGACGTCACTCTAGTACTCTCCAGTGTGTAGCCGAGTAACAAAATACCATTCAGTTTACAAGAACTCGAAACTAGAATATCTATATAAAAAGATTAACGATTGACCACTGCTTTCCAAAAAAGAAAATGTTACATGATCGTTGTGTGGGCCACGTGAGCACGTTTGGTGGAACTTGTGACACTTCCTGTGATTGTTCTCTGCAACATGGGCCCCTTGATGCGCTCTATGCATCAGCGCAGCTCTGTGATTGGTCTGCTTTGGCTCCACATCATAGCAGCGCTGTGATTGGTCTGTTCTAACTTCAGATGAATGGGGTGACTTAGTTCGCGTACGCCTTGTAAACTGCAGCAGCACGATTCTTAAAACAAGCTGCCAGAACGCACGTCACAATGGAAGTCAGAACAGTTACGTTGACGTTCTAAATCCATTTGAAGCACAATAGTACGGAGTGCAGTGGCATGTGAGTGTGAATAAACCATCACTTAAAACTACACCTCTATCCATGGCCCTGGTATTTTAACGCGTTATGAACGTCCCAGATGCATACTTTTGTTCTTGGAATAAAACGTATCTGATTTTTTAAATCTGCATGACAGTAAAGGGCAGTTGGGGACGCAGTGTGGTCGCAGACTTTGCCCTAGAGCGGCAGTGTAAAGAGAGTTATTCGAACACGTCCCGTTATACGCATCAGTTTAAGGTGGACTATAGACACTCATGCCGCTCATTAGTTCGCGAGCTTTTTCCACCCTTTCGCACTGACGACTCCATCCGCACAGGACAGCACTGAAGAAAACATCGGTCTGAAGACTAAAGGTAAGATGCTTTCTAATAGTCTTGCTGGCCATGACGCTAAAGAGATGTAAACGGTCCAAAATGTCACCTGACTGAAACTGCGCTGTCTGGGGCACAATGACGCGCGCGTGACCTTATATGATATAACTATCAAAGATTAGAAGCGTTAGGTTTACGACGATGTCACGCGAAGCCGTCCTTTATTTGTTCTGAGGAAGAGGACTTATCAAAACGTGTCTGAGTCGTCTTGAAATGTGTAGTTGCAGTTTCTGATCTGTTGTATACAAGCGATATGATCCTATCGAGCGGTTCAGTGACAGCAGTGTCCCGCTGTGAGACATCACGCTATAACTATTAGGGGCTCAAGTGCGTAGCGCTGAAACCCTATTGTAATTGTTAGAATGGCCACGGATCGGCAATCTCCGCAAAACTGATCGGGAAGACCAAAGCGTAAGCCGTAGAGACTTGAAACTTGTGGCGATTTTCCACTGCATGGTACGGCTCGGCACGGTTCACTTTAGGGGGGTTTTCCACTGGGTACAGTACCTGGTACCTGGTACCTTTTTTAGTACCACCTCGGTTGGGGTTCCAAGTGAACCGTACCGTTACCAAAACGTGACGTGTAAACTCTGCTGATCACGGATTGGCCGGAGAGAATCGTCACTACCTGCGTCACTGAACTTGAGACACAAACGCAACAGAACCGCTAGATACCGACATTTTTCAGGCAGTATCGTCGATATCGATACCGATACGATACTTCTGAACTAAACTTTTAAATTATTAAATTTATTAAATTACTAAGAGTAAAATGGGTAATGATAACCACTTAACTTTGTTTAAAACACATTTTAACATTCAATACAACTTATTTTTTTGTTTACACATGGTTCAAATGTGTTTTTGTTTACACATGATTCAAATCTACAAATACATCAGTTGAACTATGCTCATTTTAGTAAAACCATTTTTTTCTGTCCTCTGATAAGCATTGTTCAGGGCTGCTGTTCCCAAAAGCTTTAATGCTTTCTTATGATACTTTTGGGAAACGCAGCCCTGTTTGAAAGCACTTTTAGAAGTGAGTTAACGCTCTCGTTGATGGATTGGTTCTGTCTTGCAACATTTGCTTGTGTTCAGATGAGCAGGAAAATAATTCTATCCTACACAATTACTTGCGAACAAAGGTTATTCGTCCAATTCAATGTATTTGTACGCATTATTATTATTATTATTTTAAATAAACAAAATCACTGGTAAATAAAACACACCTTAGTAATGATATTTTTAGTTTGAGTATCGATACTTTCGATACTCGCGTCTGTATCGATATATCGATACTTAGGATCGATACGCCCATCCCTAGCGAAGGATCGAACGCAACTGTTTTGAACAAGCGCACCTTTTTTAACAACCAAAAAGTGGCTGTTTCGTTGTCTGTTGAGGAAGTACAGACGTTCCTCTCGTTGATAGCAGAGGAGCGGATCCAGCGAGCTTGATGGGGCGACGCGGAATGAAAAAGTTTTTCAGGAGTCGCGGTAGTAGAGGCGGCACAACTATAAACGACATGTGAATAATCCCGCCCACCCTAAAGCGGTACTGAACTGCAGTGGAAACGCGAGCAGAGTCGTACCACGCAGTGGAAAAGCGGCATTGGAGGACAGTAGTACAGTACTCATACCTAATCTACAACGTCACCAAGGCTCGCCCCAATCGGCCTGACGGGGGCGCTACAGCGATCAAAAGTACGAAATCGCTCATAACTCCTAAACTAGTCGCAGGCTCAAGTGCCTTGTGTCGTTGGAATCCTTGGCTCACGATGGACAAAACGCACGCCTCGGATTCTGGGGAAATGTTCGAGTGTTTTGCATTGTTTGAAAAACCTTGTACTTTTGCGAACTAGTCCTAGGTATTTCACCCGATCGGAACCAAACCAGTGCAGAAATATTTTCTGGAGCGTGAATATCAATAATTATCAAAAAAAAGGTTGAAGTTTCCGGCACGCCAAAACGTTCATAAGGGGTGCGCCTATAACTCTTGAACAGAAAGCGATTTTTTTCGCCAAACTTGGAACAGTCATGTAACAGCTCAATCTGAGGTCTCAATAAAAAAAACGCGGAGTTTGGCCACTTGGTGGTGCTATAACAGGGGAAAAAAAACATAAAAATGGCTATAACTATGCACCCGTTAGTTTGATCGACTTGAAAATTGGTATGCAGTGTCTTTGTCCAAAGTGGCACAAGTGTCTATGAGGACATTTGCGTATCTCAAAAAACATCTCCGCCATTGGCCAATGAATTTTGAGCACAGACAAGGTTAACGGAGGCTGATCGGATCTAAACTTGGTGGGCACGATTGACTTGTGGCCCTAGAGGTCTGTAAAATAATTTTGAAAGAAATCGGCCATTAGGTGACAGTGGTGAGTTTCACACCTCTGTAATCACGTGGCGTTTCACAATATTCATATCATAATTAATAATTGAGCATAATTAACTGAGCAACCTTGCCTCAAGAACCACTGCTGTCAATCAAATCGTTCATTAAATATTCTCAATTATGTTAAAAACTAGTCCTAGGTTTTTCGCTCAACTTCAATAAAATCCCAGCAGCACAATAGATCAATAATTATTAAAAAAAATTTAATTTTACCCTTTAGGTAGCTATAACGGGGTCATTTAGAAAAGGGGTGTGGCAAAAATACCCAAAAGCCTATAAATCCAAAAACTCAAAACTTCACGAAACTAGGTGAGCACATGCAACAGATGATTCTTAACAAGCATGCAAAGTTTCACGGATATCTGACAATATGTGGCGCTATAACAGTTAAAAAGGCTTCAAAAACTCAATATTTCTATGGTAAATGACCTCAAATTGAAAAAATAAAATCATATATTCACATGTACACTAGATCTTCATATTATATGATAGATCACCTCATTCTGAATAACATGCCTCTAGGACCACTGCTGTCAATCAAATTATTTAAGTATTTGAGATCATTTAAAACGTCTCAGGTTACTTATGTAACCATGGTTCCCTGAGTAGGGAACTTCGAACTACGTCCTCTAGGGGTCGCTATGGGGAACGGTATACCCGCTCCACCATGCTGAGGGGAGTGCATGCCAGAACCATGGCGAGCACTAAGTACCAACTCTACCATATTGCTATGGGAGTTGCCCCTGGGACGTTAGACGGCTGTCAGTGACGTTATTCCCTACGGCCAAAGGCCTAGGCTACATACCCCAAAATACTTACCTGTTAGGGCCAGACTCCTGGGCCCGGGGTAGAGCTCAAGGCTTGGAATCAGGAATAGATTCCTTTAAGGGAATACGACCAAGAGCCTAGAATCATACTAGTCTTGGCCTGTCACACAGGGGCTACCGCACGTTTCTCTTTGTATGTGCTGAAGGAACTGTCTCAACAGACCCCTAGCAGGAACACCCTGATAAAGTAGGTATCCAGAGGATACATAGGAGGAGTGGTGCCCAAGTGAAGACGAAGAAGAGAATGATGTGTGCTCCCGGCGCCTATTTATACGGCCAACGAGTTGGTGTTTTTTCAATGTATGCTTCAGACACGAGTCACGACGAGGCGTTCCCCCATAGCGACCCCTAGAGGACGCAGTTCGAAGTTCCCATGAAAGGGAAACCTACTTTTGTGAACTAGTCATTGGTTTTTAGCTCAACATCAATAAAATCAGTACAGTACAATCTTCTGGACCCTCTAGGTCGATAATTATGAACAAAATATTGAACCTCTGCATTTGGACGGCTATTACAGGATCATTTTAAAATATGGTATTGATCTAGTGTACCCAAAAGCCTATGGATCCTAAAGGAAAACTCAAAACTAAGTCAACTCATGCATCATATTATTCTAAATAAGCATGCAAAATTATTACATTTAAAGTCACATTTAGTCAAAGTTTACCACTTAATTTATACAGATATATCAGTTTTACAATTATGCCACATTATAATTAGAGTTAAACCTGAAAAATGTGTTTTAAACAGGAGACTTGCAGTAACCATTTTGTTACCTTTCAGTTATTTCAAATATCTATATCTGCAACAGAATCTGTGTGCATATGTGTGTGTGTGTGTGTGTGTGTGTGTGTGTGTGTGAGCGAGCGTATTCTCCATTGTGGCTGTGTTTTAGTGTCAACCATGCATTTCAGGTTTGCTTAGACCCTAAAAGCATAGAACCTTAAAGGCCTTAAAGCTCTTGAACCCAAGCTATAATTGCTTGCAGCTATTTCTAATATAATTTTCATTTCATTTTATATTATATTAAGCAATCATTGTATAATTAATATCAAGGTTTTATTACTTATTGTTATACATTTAGACTTTTTGTCAACCTTTTTTTAATTGTATGTTGGTTTATGAGTGTATTATATGTCCAAATTGCAATCATAGTCATGCACATTTACAAAAGTTCATAATGAATACGTGGTAATACCCTTTTAGTTTGCCATATTGGTTGTCATGAGATGTAGCCTACAATTTTCAAATATCATATTTAGATGAAAAGCTGTCAAGAGCATGTCACATTTCACCCCAAAAACAAAATAAATATAAGCTTATTTCTTGGATATTATTATTATTATTATTGACAATGAAGTATATCTCATCTTTCCCACATAAGCTTAATTTTTTTTACACTTTTTTTTTTACACTGCTTTAATAAACACCTCCAGCATTAGGCCTGCTTGAGGGCGTGGAGAAACTATGTCTCATAATAATCTAAGGTTCTCTGTGTTCATGTATTCTCGTCGTTAGTTCTGCTAACAAAAAAAAAAAGGTTTTCTGGATTATAAGCACTATGTCTTGACTTTTACTGAGCTTCAAGAGAATTTAACCTGATGGATGGTAGCCCTTGCTGTAGGCAGCCATTTTTATTGCTGTGATCAATAAGTGTTCCAACAAGGATTTATAAGGTTAACTTGGGTTGCCCTTTTTAAACAGTTTTATTATTCTTTAGACTTTCACAGTATGTACAGTGGGTACGGAAAGTATTCAGACCCCCTTAAATTTGCAAAGGGTCTGAATACTTAGGACCATGTGATATTTCAGTTTTTCTTTTTTAATAAATCTGCAAAAATGTCAACGATTCTGTGTTTTTCTGTCAATATGGGGTGCTGTGTGTACATTAATGAGGAAAAAAAATTAACTTAAATGATTTTAGCAAATGGCTGCAATATAACAGAGTGAAAAATTTAAGGGGGTCTGAATACTTTCCGTACCCACTGTATATTTGCTCTGACTCTGTGCTTGTGTAAACGGCTGAAGTAATCTTCATATGATTTCTCCCGAAGGTTGAAGATGGAGACGTTTAATCACAGAGTTAACACTTATATTGACTCTTGGATGGGACCCAGGGGTAAGACCAATACTCCTTTTTACACGTTTTCAGTTCTCTTTCTTGCTGTTGTGTTCCTATATGGCAAACGTCTGAGCAAACTTTACAGGTTTAGCAAATAGAACGTATTCTCACTTTATTTTCATAGCTAAAACAATATTATTGCATGCTGATGATTTTAATCTGTGTCACATCACGTATTATGCAGCCACGCAAGCGGTTGAAACAAGAATCTGTCCAACTGGCAAAAAAATGCTCCATTATCCATTAAATAATGATTGTTTGATCCAAAAAGTTCTCATTGTATCAACCCAGTTGTCATCTTGGAAACATGGTCTCCAGACTCATTAAAAAATATATATATTAATAAAAGTTTCCAATCAGACTGGAAGCAACTGCAATTTCAGCTTGCGCTGTGAGTAGGCAAAGCAGTGCCAGGCTTTGTGAAAGAAAAAAAACTGCATTATAAAATTCAACTTTTGACTGGATGAGCCATATTTAAAGCTGTTTTTTTTTTTTTTTAATTCAGAGGAACAACTGTGACTATTTATTAATTGAACATGCTAATGGCGTTGCATATGCGTGAGGGTGGTTGTGCTCTATCATTTGCAGATCCTCGGGTTAGAGGATGGCTTCTACTGGACAACTACATCCCCACTTTTGCCTTCACTGTCATGTACCTTCTGATTGTGTGGATGGGACCAAAATACATGAAGAATAGACAGCCATACTCCTGCAGAGCACTGCTAGTGCCGTATAACCTCGGCCTGACGCTTCTCTCCTTCTACATGTTTTATGAGGTGGGCTCGTCATATGTGTAAGATATGTCTATTTGAAGAGGTCATATCATTAAAAAAATGAGTGAAAATTCAAAATATGTAAAAAAAAAAAAAACACTACTTTCTAAAATGTATTTGTCATCCTTCTGATTTGGAGTTTTTTTTTAAAGGGGTCCTATTATGCTTTTTCACGTTTTCAACTTTAGTTAGTCTGTAATGTTGCTGTTTGAGCATAAAAAAGATCTGCAAAGTTACAAAGCTCAAAGTCCA